CCACGTGATGGCCAAGAAACGCAACTGGCCCTAGGCCCAGTGCTGGGGAAGCAGCCCAAACATCAGGGTCTCTGAAGAAATCTTGGCCCCAAAATGAATTTTGTGCTTGTTATTCCCAGTACCAGGCACCGCCCTTAAATGTGTTCATGCACATGTGTTAGCCCATGTGTGTTTGCACAGCTCCAGCATGGCACATGGACAGGACCGCTGTAGTTCCTACAAATCAGGAATGGCTTCAGAGCCCCCTGCCTCCTACATTCAGCACACTGGACTGCAGTCTTTTGCTTGGGGCAGGCTGTAACCCAAAGCTTCCGTTCAGAAAATAGCATACACCTAGTCACACAGGGAAAATGGCCTGGGTAATCCTTGTTCTCTCTGAACTAAGATAAAATTCTCAGCCCTAATCGTGGCTTCACCCTGTCCACAGACACCAGTGCACATCACAGTAAACAGGCGACAGCAAGGACACAGGCACAAGTATTTTATTTGGCAATTTCCAGCTGACCCGGAGGGCAGTTTTCTGATCCCTCCACCTTCCTGTCCCCTTGGTAGGGCCCTAGCTCCACACCACAGAAACAGAAATGCAGTGCACAGGCGCAGTCAGGTACGACCACCGCTGCAGCAGAGCCTGGCACCAACCAGCCACCCGGGGCAGCGCTGCCAGGAACGTCACTCAGTGAGTTACAGAGTACAAGAATTGACTCCTCACGTATCCGGAAGGCGAAGGAGGGTTCCAGAACTGGTGGGGACACTGTGTAAGAGAAACACAAGACTGGAGTCCTCTGCCTCGCCCCACAGTGTGCTCCTGAGTCTCCGAAAAGAAGAAGCACACTGGGCTTCACTAGTGAATGACGCATGACTGGTGAATGACGCATGACTGGGGATACCCCACCCGAGCACTGCGCTTTTCCTGAGATGCAGGACTACACTCACCAGTCCACTAGCTGGGCCCCAATGACATCATGCACATGGTAGGCAAGGCCGAGCCGCACTGCTGAAGGGGGCCTGCGGCCCAGCAGCTCTGACAGGAGAAGTTCCCGGTATTTGGCCTTCCGCACCATGCTGAGTACAGCCTGGCGCCCTGGAGGAGAGGTGGCCCAGGAAAAGGAGGTGAGTCCAAAATGGAGACCTAAAGACCCCCCAGGTGTTCTTGAGGCACTGAGGACTTGTCTTTAGGCAGGACACCTTTCACAAAGCACTTGATGAATCTCCCAGCTCCAGGCACAGCCAGCCACCAGCTCCCAGCATCTCGGACAGTGAGGACTCCAGCGTTCACCAGGTGCCTGCAGGTGGGGAGAGGTCAGGTCAGTGCAGCCAGGGCATCCCTGTTCCCCAACTCTTGATGTGTAGACTCCAAGTGTCCAGAAACACAGACAACCCAAGGCAGGATCCCTGCATGAGTGTCCTTTAGTATATTTTTCCTCTATAACCTTGCTTGTAAGTGTACATGTATGTGTGTGTGCATGCAGGCATGTAAGTACACAAGTACACACAAGCATATAGAGGCCACAGGTTTACATTAAGTATGTCCAATCACTCTCAACTTTCTTAAAAAGACATTTCTAGTGTATGTGTATGGGTGTTTTGACAACATGTCTATCTGTACACCACATGCACGCAGGGCTTGTGGAGGCCAGAGAGGGCATTGCATCTCGAGACTGGAGTTACAGACAGCTGGGAGTCATTTTGTGGGAGCTGGGAATCGAACTCTGGATCTCTGGGAGAGCTGTCAGTGCTCTTAACCATTGAGTCACCTCTCCAGCCCCATTCCCCCTTTCATTTTTGAGACAGGGTCTTTCTCTCTGTCGCCCTGGCTCTCCGAGCACTCACCATGACAGGCTGGCATCAAACTCAGACATCCACCTGCTTCTGCCCACTGAATGCTGGGACTGACTTGTTTTTTGAGACAGGGTCTCTGTCTGAACCTGGGACTCGCTGGTATGGCTACACCTTGCTGTAGGATATCCACTTGCCTCCATCCCTTTCAGCACAGGGTACAGACACCTGCTGTGTACAGCAGGCCCGGCCCTCTGATGACTGCTGGTAAAACAGCTCCCGTAGGAGGCTTCACTGACACAGCCCTGAGATGCACCTGAGTGCGGGCGTCTCAGGGCACACATAACCTAAGAACACCCCCACTCAGCCTGATACTTCTCAGGGGAGACCAGAGACCTCACACACAGTGAGTTTAGGCACTTTCCATACCAAGACTTTGATTAGTACTTTTCCCTTTTCTCTATGGGGACCCTGTGAATGTGATCTTTAGGGACACTGCAGCCTCTACCGTCCTGTGATCTCATAGAGAGCACTGTTAGGCATGGCTCCTGCTAAGCCTCCTGTGTCTGGCAAGCCTCTCACTCTCCTGATCTATTGACCCCACAACGGCTCACGTGATTTCTGAGTCCCTGAAGCCATAAGTCTGCGTCATCTGGTCCTGTTGTAAGCTAAGGTCCCCACAGGCTGGGAGCACTGAGGCCAGGAACTTCTGCACTGCTGCAGCACACGGTCGGCCATCACAGGCCTTCAGGACCTGGAAGCAGAGTTGACGTCTGTGAGCAGGGTTCTCTATCCACCTCATCCTGACTCCTCCCTCTCTGGGGTCCTTCTACTTCTCAGACCCTTTTCCCTACTCCCCCATAGTTCCTGGTCTCTTCCCCCAATCTTACTACTTACCAGAGCTCTGGACACTGTTTATGAGTTGTGGGCTAGGGATAATGTTTCTTTTGTTGTTTCTATGCCCAACTCCCCTGCCCGCCCCCCTCTCTCACACTCTGTCTGTCTGTCTGTCTATCTCTCTCTCTCTCTCTCACACACACACACACTCACACACATTCTCCCCCCCCCCCACGTACACGTGCACACGTACTCTGGTCCTGTAGTCTTCAGTGAAGACAATTCCATGAGCATCCAAGTCAAAGCCTAGCTGGATGATCTTGATCTCTCCCCGTTCTTGAAGCTCCTTCTGTCTCCACAGAGATGAGAGTAGAAAGAAAGACATAAGAGAAGCTGAGCACTGGGGCAGGGGGTCTGGCTGCCAGTGTGTGGGGTGGGGCAGGGGCTGTGACAGGATTGGGACATCAGAGATACTCTTGTGGACTGTCAAGCAGCCCTTTCCAACTAGTGACCTCAAACAATCCATAGAAACATCCTCTAAACCACACCCTTACCAGTCACTGCATCAAACAGTGAGGGTGCAGGGCACGCCTTTAATCCCAGCACAGGGGAGACAGAGGACAGAGGCAGGCAGATCTGTGAGTTTGAGGTCAGCCTGGTCTGCAGAGTGAAGTTCCAGGCCAGCCAGAGCTACAAAGTGAGACTTTTTGTCTTAAAACATTTTTTTTTATTGCTTAAACATTAAAAAGTTCAGAAAATCGTAGGAACTGCCAGACAGATATATTAAAGTGGGAACAAAGACTCTGACAGAAAGGAAACGCTAAGGCGTGTTTGCGGATCTGAGCAAAGCTCATAAGCAAATATAACTGCGCGCAATACTTGCTGCAGAGCACCCAGTTCAGTCACCACATCTGGTGGCTCCAGAAGTCCAGTGCCCTCTTCCGGCCTTGGAGGGCGCATACATACGTGGACACACACATGCATTCATGTGGGCACACACACATACACACACATGGACATAGCCACAAACAAAGACAACAAATACTTTTAAACAAATTATTAATCTAAGGGAGATTACAATAATATGAGAGCCAAAAATACTGAACATGGAAGTGCCTTCAAGGGTTCAGAGTCTATTTAATTTGAGTCCCAGAAGAAAGCAAAGCGAGGACGCAGAGAAAATGTTTAAGAGCTGGTGACAGGACTGGTGAGCTGACTGCTGTCAGGCCTGCTGACCTGAGTTTAACCCTCCCTTCCCCATGGAGAACAGAGTCCCTTCAGCTGTCTTCCGACTTCCATATATGCACACACACACACACACACACACACACACACACAAATAAAAAGAGTCAATAGTAAATGAAAAAATCAGAGGATTACACGAATCCAGTTCTCTTAAGTTCATAGGAGAAGGAAACAGATCACCAGTGAAGAAATAGAGTATTTCAATTATAACCTCAGCAAGAGAGATCAGTGATTGAACCATTTTTTCCCAAATACACATCTGTAACACTTAGCAGAAGAAGCCATGCCTGGGGTCGCCGTGATCTTGTGTAATCCTCTGGCCGCAATGCCATGTGAGAACACAGTAGCGCGCCTGGAGCGTAGGGCACAGATCTTACTGACTCCAGACCGTCACACACGAGGTAGGAAGACACTTCCAATGGATCAATGATGAAAATATAATTTGAATCTTAGATGAAATTTGTAACTCATCAAAAACACATGTTTCAAAAGGATGCACAAACTGGAATAGGTTCATAACATGGAAACCTATGAAAATAGATTAACTATTGTTACAGACAACTTAGAACAATCTCAAAACTACCCAGCTAATTACAAGAATTGGATGAATACAGTGTTGTAGGCTTCTTCAGATCACTGAAACCGGGTAATTAACACATGGCAGAATCCTCGTTTGCCCAGCTGTGTGAGGCTCTAAGTTCCAGGCCCAGCACCACCAAATGATGACAGTAAGGAGCAGTGCCCCCAGAAGGTCACTGTGCCTGGAGAGAGAGCCACACTGTCAAGAACCAAAACCCTTATGATAAAGGCTCTGAAGAGTTGCCCAGTGCTCCCCTCTCTTCTGCCACTGAGGAACAGCAAGGACAGAATCTTGGAAACAGGGAGAGTCAAACCCCAGCAGATACTGCACCAGCTGAAGCCATCATCTTGGACCTCCACCTTCACAGCTGTAAGAAATAAATTGCCGTTTCTAACATAGACTAAATGGCCTCTGGCGTGTTCTTAGAGCAATATGAATAGACCAGACTGTAAGACTCACAGCATGACCTCACTGTCGAGGTAAAAAAGGCATGAAACCAGCTGTTCTTGATGAACACACACACATATAGTATGAGGAAAATCAAAGTAGTGGTCACCGTGGGAAAAAGACGATGGCGGGAGCTGGCCGTGTTCTCTACGCTGTCCAGGTGGGGACTGTATCAGGGGTGGGCGCTAGGCCTCAGATGGTGGTGCACACCAGTAACCCCAGCATTTAGGAGGTAGAGGTAAGAGGATCAGAGTTCAAGGTCACCTCAGTGAGTTCCAGACGAGCTGAACTACAGAAAACCCTGCCCCAAAGAACTCAAAAACAAAAGTTTAAGTGTCATGGTGGGCTCCTGTCATCCCACCACTAGAGAGGCTGGAACAGGAGGTCTCGGATGTAAGGCAGTCAGGTTATAAAACAAAACGTGTGAACGTGTTTGCATTTCTCTCGTGCAAGTCTTATAGGGTTTTTTTTTTTTTTGCAAAAAATAAAAAAAAAAATTATTTGTTATGGGGAAGAACACGAATGCTGTGGCCTGCATGAGGAGTCGGGGGACAACTGTGGGAATGGGTCTCCTTCACCACGTGGGTACCAGAAATCAAACTCTGACGTCCAGCTGGGCACACCCTTTACCCACCCAGCCACCTCACTGGCCCTAAATAACTGACAAATGTTGTGCTGGATAAAGGAGCTCCATTTGAAGCTCGGCCTCCGTATGAGTACCTACTAGCTGTTTGTCTGCGTGCCCGGAGGAAAAGTTCCCGGTGGCCCTGACTCAGAAATGTACAGCCGGACCGCCTACTTGTTATGACTGACTACTTTTTGGCTTCTGTCCCCTGTTCTACCAAGGTAGTCCTAGAACAGCTCCTTGTGGTTTTCACCTTTGTAAAAACCCTTCCCTTGCTCCCCCTTCGAGGGGCCCGAGATTGCTGTCCTGCTAGCAGTAATCAAAACATCTCTTAAATATACTTGGATTGAATCTATGGCCTTTTCTCGGGGGTCAGAAACTCCAGAGCCATGTAAGGGCAGAGCTAAGCCAGGGGAATCTGTGACGGAAGCTGAGAAGTGCCGGTCAGAAGGTGCGAAGTGCCGGTCAGAAGGTGCGGAGCTATGTGGATGCATTACCCCGCACTGCTGCCTCTTTGTGAGCGGCTTTCACGGTGTTGAGACCTCTGACTCGGTGGTCTGTGAGGAGTTCTGGTAACACAGACACTGAGACTTGCCCGCCGGATTTAACTGGGAGGTGACTGTGATCCTTACGCCTTATCTCCAGGATCTTGTGAAGCAGGCCCTTCACAAACCTTAATCGCTGTGCACCCCGTACCTCCTGTTTCTGTCTGACGAGGGGCAGCCTGGCTTTCATCACCTTCTGAACTTGGTTACCGGGATACAGCATCTGTCTAGCCTCCCTAGGGGTCTCACTCCGCCTCATGACTCTGCCTGGTGTTCAGAGGCCCAGAAGGATCTGCAGCCGACATAGCCAACGGTCGAGTACACGGATCTACCGCCTCCAGCTCAGCCGGCCGTTCAGCGCTCCCCTCCTCGATCCACTAACCCATTTCCCAAGTCCATCGCCTGGGAAATCGGGGAGTTGACACGAGACTCAGCTCTCCCACCTAGGCCTTTGCTAGGGACCCCGAAACAGCACGGAGAGGCTGTGTGAGATGACGTCTGTCTGAGGGGCTGGCGAGGGTCGGAATGACGGGGCGGGACGGGGCGGGACGGGGCGGGGGCCGCCGACGGCTTCCCGGGCACTCCTCACCAGCTGCAGGTCGGCCACCGTCCGGTCCGGCACCAGGCTGTACACCTGGCTCCTCAGCGCGATGGGCGGCAGCGCGTCCTCGAACAGCCCCCGGGGGAACAGCCGCGCCAGCTCCTCCACCGCCTCGCGCGCGGACCCTGCCGGGGAGTGCGGGGTCAGGTCGGACGCCGAGGGCCGGCCCGCCGCCCCGCCGCCGGGTCGCCACGGTTACCTACCCTGGGTCCTCCTCCGAGGGCCGGGACCCTCGGGCCCGCCGCGCCCGGGTTGCCATGGTTACCTGCGCCCGCCCTCAGAGGATCCGCTCTCCCGGGCCCCGGCGCCCGCCGCCGCTTCACTCCAAAGGCCTCAGAAGCCAGGAGCTGTCTCTTGCGACTCATAGCCCGGGACTCGCCGCTTCCGGGAAAGCGCGCCCGGAAACGCGGGGCGATGACGACAGCGTCTCGGACGCGACCGCCAGGGCCGGAGACAGCCACACTTCCGGCGCCCGCGCCGCTGCCGATTGGCTCCGGGCGGCAGCGCTCGCTCCCGTAGAGCGCGCGGGCATCCACCTTCCCTTCAGGGGGCCGGCTTCAGGTGCCGCCGCTGGCTGCGCGGTCGCCCTTCCCTGCCTGAGGGTGATAACTGCGTCATCAGACGCGGCCACGACACTTTTGCAGCCTCTCCAGAGGGCTTCTGACGGGCTGCCCCGACGGCAGAGCGTAGAGAAGGTGGAAGCCAGGGCTGGGAGCTTTGAGATAACCAGCTCTTTGCTCTAAGCCCGAACTACTTTTTGTTGTTGCTGTTTTTTTTTTTTTTTTTCCGAGACCGGGTTTCTCTCTGCAGCCTGGTTGTCCTGGAACTCGCTCTGTAGACCAGGCTGACCTCGAACTCACAGAGATCCCCCTGCCTCTGCTTCCCGGGTTCTGAATTAAAGGCGTGCGCCACCACTGCCCAGCTAAGCCTAGACTTCTTAAGCTCGCGGCGTCTGGGTGGCGGTGGACGGGTAAGAGGCGCTCGGCTCCTGAATGAGGAGGGGCAGGCGCTGCACGGCCCTGGGCTCACTCTGGCCTCATCCGCTCTAAAGTGCAAACCCTGTCCCCTCAGGAGCTCATGGAGCCCAGAGGAACCAAGAGAAAAGCGGAGAAGACAGAGGTGGCGGAGCCTTGGAACCAGCTCCCGCGTCCACTGCCCTCACTGCGCACGGAGCCTGCTCTGTACTCTGGCCCCTTCCCCTTCTACCGGCGCCCTTCCGAACTGGGCTGCTTCTCCCTGGACGCCCAGCGCCAGTACCATGGAGATGCCCGAGCCCTGCGCTACTACAGCCCGCCCCCTATCAACGGTCCAGGCCCAGGCCCCGACTTTGACCTCAGAGATGGGTATCCTGATAGATACCACCCCCGGGATGAGGAAGTCAAGGAGAGGCTGGACCATTTGCTGCGCTGGCTTCTGGAACACCGACACCAGCTGGAGGGGTGAGCGAAAGCCCTGCACGCAAGCTCATCTGCAGACCCGCTTTTAGCTCCTGAAGTGAGGAGAGCCAGACGGTCTTTAGCAGGGACTGTCGCTCACCCGAGCCAAGGCTTCGGTCAGACCACTAGCCCCAAACTCTTCCCTCTCAGGGGTCCGGGCTGGCTGGCAGGGGCCACAGTAACATGGCGAGGACACCTGACAAAATTGCTGACCACGCCGTATGAGCGGCAGGAAGGCTGGCAGCTGGCAGCCTCGCGGTTCCAAGGGACACTGTACCTAAGTGAGGTGGAGACCCCGGCTGCTCGGGCTCAGAGGCTAGCCAGACCGCCCCTCCTGCGGGAGCTCATGTACATGGGCTACAAATTTGAGCAGTACATGTGTGCAGGTGAGAGCTATCCCTGGCGTGCGGCCCCCCTCCCCTCCCCTCCCTCAGAGGTCGAGAGCCCCTTCCCCTGCTGCTTCTCTCCTTGCAGACAAACCTGGAGGCTCCCCAGACCCCTCTGGGGAGGTTAACACCAACGTGGCCTTCTGCTCTGTGCTACGCAGCCGCCTGGGAAGCCACCCTCTGCTCTTCTCCGGGGAAGTAGACTGCATGAACCCCCAGGCCCCATCCACACAGCCTCCGGCCTGCTATGTGGAGCTCAAGACCTCCAAGGAGATGCACAGCCCTGGCCAGTGGAGGAGCTTCTACAGGTTCAGGCCGGTGGCCAGGAGAGCCTGGGATGGAGAGGGAGCCCGGGGGGAGGGGGGGTCCTGCTGACCCTTTGCCTCTCCTGTCAGACACAAGCTTCTGAAGTGGTGGGCTCAGTCGTTCCTCCCAGGGGTCCCACATGTTGTCGCCGGCTTCCGGAACCCAGAAGGTTTCGTCTGTTCCTTAAAGACCTTTCCTACCATGGAGATGTTTGAAAATGTCAGGGTAAGGCAGGGCGTCACGGCTGCCACCTTAGGTCCAGTGTCCCTTGCCATCTGCCTTCCTCTCCCACCCCACTGTCCTCTGCCTCTTGTGCCTCCTCCAGAATGACCCGGATGGCTGGAGTCCCTCTGTGTGCATGAACTTCTGTGCTGCCTTCCTTAGTTTTGCCCAGAGCACAGTTGTCCAGGATGACCCCAGGTAAGGACTTGAGGTTTGTGTACCACCTCTGGATCTCGGCTCCGTCTCTGGCTTCACCCCACACCTCCATCTTCCTCCAGGCTTGTTCACCTCTTCTCCTGGGAACCTGGTGGCCCAGTCACTGTGTCTGTCCATCGGGATGCACCCTATGCCTTCCTGCCCACATGGTATGTGGAAGCCATGACTCAGGACCTCCCAGCACTCTCAAAAACTCCTTCCCCCAAGGACTGATGCCTCAGGGGACTCCGTGCAGATAATAAAAGCAGGTTTCTAAGCAGGTGTCTTGCTGCGTCTGAGTACAGCCATCCCCGCCCTATACTCCAAGCATTCTCCTTTGCTGTTTTATTACTCGCTTTTGCCCAACACGCCCTTTACTGGGTGTAGAGGCTGGCTGCGAAGACAATGTCCCGCCGCAGCAAGGTGGCTGCCGTCTCCATCTTGGCGCCCAGCACGGGCTCCCCTACCAAACGGGCTGCTCCTCGAAGCGAGCGACACATCTCAGCCAGGCGCTGGATGCAGCGGACCACTAAGCCTTCTGGGGTCCCTGAGAGCCCGGCCAACTCGGAGAAGGGCTAAGGGGAGAGCAGAGTGAAGGCTAAATGTGCCAGGCCTGGACAACCTTCCCCAGCCAGCCACCTGCCAGACCCAGGTACTTACCATACCCCGAGCCCACTCATACACAACTTCAACCAGCCCAAAATTCAGCTCTCCCACAAATTCTTCCACTGTCTGGTTCAGGCCACAGGCCACCTGAACCTCACCAATCCGCTTAGCCACAGCTTTGACACGCTCCACCCCCTGCAGATAGTAAGGAGAGGTCAAGGCCCCTGATCTGGAAGAGGCTATGCCCACCTTGGGAGACACCTACGGGGACTGGGTAGGGGGAGTGTGGTTAGGGATGCACAAGCCAAGAGGGGGGTGATGGCCCCCACCTGTTTGAGGGTGCTTGGGAGCTGATCCCCAGGGTCACCGGGGCTCTGGCAGACCAGGCCAGAGAGCAGAGCTGCAATCTCCTCTGGTCGCAGGGCGCTCAGCGCATTGTCAAACATGAGCTCTGTGAGGAGCAGCTCGTGGCTGCTCATGGCGCAGGCCACTCGGCCTGCCAGCTTCACTGTGCCCGCCTCATCCACATAGCCCAGGGTCCGGAGCACCTGCAGGAGAGGTGAGGGCTGCAGAGCCTGACTGCCCTCCAGGCTTCCCCCACCTCACGCCCCGCCCTGCTCTTTCACCTCTACGCGCTGGTGGTACTCGGGGAGCAGCAGCAGCGACTGATCAGACAGTAGGAAGCTCAGCCTCTCCATTTCCTTCTGAATCTGCCTTCGCTCCCGCAGCTTCAGGTACTAAAGAAAGCCATAGCAGAGACCATTAGCTCCTCAGCCCTCAGCGGGGGTGCACAGGGTTGAGGGAGGAGTACCCAGATCATAGGGACCAGGGAGGAAAAGCTGCCTCGGCTTGCTACCTGGGCAGGGAACCGGGGGCTGTGCACACACTGAGCCCCCCGGACCAGCTCCTCCAGCTTCCGGGCTCGGAGCCCACCTTCCACCACTGACACATCCTTGAGCTGCAGGTCGTTGACAGGGTCAAGGGTCGGGGGCCCTGATGGATGGGCCTGAGCCAGACGCAGCAGCTCCTGAACTGCAGTGGTCACAGCTGCAAGGGGAGGGTCCTTCCTGAAGGGGGAGCAGGTTTGTGATCTGGACCAAGAGGCGTCTTTGCCACAGGAGCCCCTCTTGCTGAGGACACCCCTCAGCTCCCCACTGCATGGTCCCTTTGTACGTACACACCCACTGGTGCGTGCCCCTCCCTGGAAAAGGTTCCCCAGGTCTCTGACCTGAATTTTGGTTGCTGCCTCTTGCTGAAGTCCTCAGAGATCTTCTCCCCGTTCACCCGGAGCACTTTGGTGGAGATGGCAGCCACATCTCCTGGCTGGAGCTTGGCCACGGTGTGCTCACAGGGCCCTGGAAAGCCAGTCAGGTCAGACTTTGCCATGGCCCAGGCATCCTGTTCACACCACCACAAGGAGCTCACCTTCAGGCAGGAACAGCTTGAAGCCCACAAGGTCGTCTGGGTAGGGCACATCTGGAGTGGTTGGCCCCTTGTCCCGTGGGCTCTCAGACACAGCAGGCTTATCACACAAGACCAACGTTGTGAACACTCTGCTGGTGTTTGAGGAGACCTAGAGGAGGCAGGCACAACAAATGTGGACATGGTATGCCCACCCTGGACAGGGGTCTTGGGGACCAGGCGCAGAGACAGGCATAAAACGATGATGAGTGGAAATGAACACACCTCCGTGGGGGTCAGGACCCCCTGTCCTCACCTGCAGGATCACGCCTAACGCATTGTGATGCTCCTTGTTCTTCACGACTACCACCCTTCCCGTGGAGAGAGATTTCAGCCCGTTCACAGACTCCATGATGCATCGCTGGAGAGCAAGACAGGCAGAAGGACATGGGAGATGTGAGACCAGGGCTCTGGGGCTAAATCCAGAAGCAGTGTCAGCCACTGTCCCTCCTGCCGTCTCCCCAACACCCCCGCTTCCTCACCTGGATCATGTTGCGGGTCTCTGTCAGCTCCTCCCCCCAGCTGTAATACTCAGGCAGGTCAGCCAGTTGGCCAGTCACGTCAGGTTCCTCCAAGGCCCCCAGCCTCTTGGTGAGTTCAGCCAGAGCCTCCTCATGGGCCTGAGTAGAAAGTGGGGGCTGTATCCAATCTGAAAGCCCAGCCTGCTCTCCTACCCCACCCCACTGGACCACCCACCTCTCCTGGGCGGCTCTGACCTGCTTGCTGTGCTGGCCACCCTAACCTCCTCACCTTGCTGTCTTTGCGGGATGGAAACTCTGAGAAGCTCCTCTTCATCATGTCCTCCACCCTGAGGGCGTCCACCCGCAGCAGGTTGAGGATCATAGTGTACGTGAGGCGGAACTGGGACTGAAGCTGGGACGGCTTCCCCTGGAGCCAGAGGGTGAGAAGTGGGACCTGCGTGCCCTACCCGGAGGGACGGCTTCCCCTGGAGCCAGAGAGTGAGAAGTGGGACCTGTGTGCCCTACCCGGAGGGACGGCTTCCCCTGGAGCCAGAGGGTGAGAAGTGGGACCTGCGTGCCCTACCCGGAGGGACGGCTTCCCCTGGAGCCAGAGTCAGTAAGAAGTGGGACCTGCGTGCCCTGGCCATATTCTGGCCCCAGCTCTGCAGCCAGGAGGCCTCAAACCAACCCCTTGCTCACCTCAGGGAACAAAACGAAAGACCTGGACTCCCAAAGGCCCCCACTGGGCGCCATACCCACAGTGGCAGGAGAGCAAGAGGAAGTGACGGCCCCTGGGACTTGATCGATTTTTTTTTTTTGTTTTAGGTTTTTCGAGACAGGGTTTCTCTGTGTAGCCCTGGCTGTCCTGGAACTCGCTCTGTAGACCAAGCTGGCCTCAAACTCAGAGATCTGCCTGCCTCTGCCTCCCTGTGCAGGGATTAAGGCTAGACTTGCTCACTTCTGACTGCTCCCAGGAGAATGAACTCATCAGAAGAGAGGAGAGTTGGGCTAAGGGATCTGGTGCCGCAGCTACGCCCAGCCCGGCCTCCTCTGCTCTACCCACCATCATCATGCGGTGTAGATCTGCCATCTCAGGCACTCGGCCCTTACAGAGCAGGATGACTGTGCCCGTGGGGTCCAGGCCCCTCCGGCCCGCCCGGCCTGCCATCTGTACGTACTCCCCAGGCAGCAGGTCCCGGAAGGTGGAGCCATCGTGTTTGCGCATGGAGTCAAACACCACGGTCCTTGCTGGCATGTTTACTCCCATGGCAAAGGTCTCGGTGGCAAACAGGACCTGGGGCAGAAGGGGAGAATGGGTCAACAAAAAGGTCCTGTCTATGCCCAGCTCAGGCAGAGCTCACCCCACCGTGGAGCCTCGTCTTAGGAGACCCACATTTTCCCTCACTCTGCTGAGCCGGCTACCTAGTTCTTTAGCGTCCACAGCCCACCTCCATCCCCAGGTGAATCTTTTTGTGTGAACGCTATCGCAGACTATTTGGCTTTGTGCTTGTATAATAGCTCACACAAACACAGCTATACATCTGAGTGTTGTCTACTTTCCACGTCCATCCGTGTTCTTGTCGTCTTAGCAATCACTGCTTGTGACTGAGGGGGGGACACCCCCTACATTTACCTAGCCACTGTCCCAGTGGAGGGCATTCTGTTTGTCAGCCAGTCTTTCGACCCTGGTCCCCCAGGATATGGGCTTGAGATCTGACCCTGTCATCATTAGCAGGACAGGAGAACAAAAGCAACGCGTATGTTCCCTCACAGACCAGGCCGAGTTTCTCTGTAATAAATACCCAAGAATGGCCCTTAGTGCCAAAAGGTATACTATATTAAATCTGCTTAAATAGTGCCGAGGCAGAAAACCAGCTGCGCTTGGATACCAAACACTGGCAGACTGGTGAGAGCCCACATCTCTGGCCACATACGCAGTTAGCGAACTTCCTGAGTGCAGCAGTCCTGACTGTACCGTTAGCTGTGTTTCCTGAGAGCATTCCGGTTTGCGTCTAATTAGTGACTTTTCCTACGCTCCCCGGCTGTAGAGGTCTCCCAGGACCACCTGAGCTGCCTCCTGTACATCCTCATTTAGGGTTAAGGTGAGAAACCTAGAGGTCACTAGGGTTCTGAAGCTGGAATTCAAACCCAGGGCCCAGGTTCTTAACCACTGCACTGTCCTGCCTAGGTCTTGGCCCTCTCGCCCCTGCTCACCTTGACCAGCCCTCGGCTGAACAGCATCTCCACAATCTCCTTAAGGATGGGCAGGATGCCACTGTGGTGCACACCCAGGCCCCGGCGAAGGAGCTCTGACATGTGCAGGACCTGCAGCAGGGAGGGGAGCAGGTCAGAGAAGGTGTAGGAGGCCCCCTCGGCAGGGGCAGGTCTCGGACCACCACACCCCCAACCGTATCTAGAGGGACGCACCTGGGGTAGCTGTCGGTCAGAGCCTCGGAGCCGTGCAAGGCAGCGCTGCAGGAAGAGGTGGATCTCGCTCTTCTCCAAGCTTGTAGTGAGATCCAGAGAGGTGAGGCCTGAAGCCTGCTCATCACAGCGGCCTCGGGAAAAGGTGAACACGACCACAGGCAGCTGAGCCCGGGCCCGGAGGGAAGCCAGCAGGGACAGGTACACCCCGCGGTCCTGAGGTTATGTGGAGGTGGGAGAGAGAGTCAGGGTTAAGTAGGCTTATGTAGAGCAGGATGCAGACCTCGAGTCCACCCCTCCCAGCAGGGACTGGGGCTGACTGCTGCCAGTCCTCACCTGTGCAGGCCCCCCCTGGTGCGTGGGCTGTTTGGCCCCAAAGGTCTGGGCATGCTTGCTCATCCTCTCCTTCTTGGCCTCCACTGCAGCATAGTACCTAAGCACAGAGCGAGGGCGTGAGGCCCAGCACAGGCCCGGCCATGGCACCCAGCCCTGGACTTACCCCTTGGTGTGGAAGGCCCCTCGGGAGTCCAACAGCAGGAAGAGCTCCCCCTGCGTTTTGGGGCTGTTTCCTGTGAAGAGATAGTGTTCCAGGGGGACAGGACGGGCAACCGTGCTAATCACAAAGATCTGCCGCCGCTTCAGCCTCCTGGAGGGAGAGGGCTGGTCAGAGAAGGCGTGGGAGGAACCCACAACTTCATCTCCACTTTAATTCCACTGGTTCAAGGTCAACCTCTGCCCTGTCCGAGCGTCTTAGGACCATGGAGTATGCCTGTTCAGACGGATGGCTCCCACCATTCTATCTCAGCATGCAAAAATGTTCTGGGGCCCCAACCTCAGGCTAGGGGTGGGGTTCGGCAGCCACTAAGGTGCGGCTATTTCCTGGCTCCATAGTCTGACCCCCTCCACACTGCAGTGGCCTGAGCGCCCCAACCCCAACCAAGGAACACCGTGGTCCTTTTCTGTTGGGACTAATGAGTCCTGGCCTTCAGCCGCTCTTCCCTGTCTAGAGCCTCCTAATTGAAGTTACTAGAAGCTGTGCCTAGCTTAGAGGATCAGAGGATGGGATTTTCACCTGTTGGCCATTGGCTGCAGGGTATTTAAGTCTACATGGTGTTAATAAAGGGGGGCTTTGGTATCAGTGTTAAAAGGTCTGTGTGTCGGTCTGTCTCTGCGTGAGTATTCTCAACCTCCAGCCCCTTTCCAGAAGCTCGGCAAACTGAGGTCTAGCGCATAGAGCACAGACTTTTCAGTCAAGCACCCAAGCCACACATCTCACCCAATCCAGTCAGCAAACTCCAGGGCGTTGGGGACGGTGGCGCTCAGAAGGATGATGGAGACGTGGTCAGGGAGCATGATGAGCACCTCCTCCCACACGACCCCACGCTGCACACATCAGAGGAGACAGGTCAGTCAGGGAGCAGAGACAGAAAGGTCCTCAGGGTATGTGGGACGGGGCTCTGTGATGAGACCCACGCACCTCGGCATCGTTGATATAGTGGACTTCATCAAAGATGACCCACTCCAAGTCCCGGATGACGTCTGAGCCGCTGTACAGCATGGAGCTGGGGAGAAGCAGCGCCAGGCTGACTCCTCAGCAGCTGTCTACCCTGCTTCTGCAGGGGTGCTCACCCCCAAACCCACCTGGGAGACCCCTCTCACCGAAGGATCTCTGTGGTCATGATAAGGCAGGAGGCCTCTGGGTGCAGTTGCACGTCCCCTGTGAGCAGCCCCACGTCCCCAAATGTGTTCCGGAAATCCCGAAACTTCTGGTTGCTCAGGGCTTTGATTGGAGACGTGTAAATGGTACTGGAGACAGGGCAGATAGTCAGAGGCTCTTTCTTCACAGACCCACAACTGGGGCACCCCCCTGCCCGCCGGAGCCGCCCCTCACACTGACAGCCCTCCTGCCCGCCAGAGGCGCCCCCCCCCACTGACAGCCCTCCAACCCTCCTTCACGACACCAGCCCTTCCTAAGCTAGCCCAGGTCATCATCTGGCCCCGTTTCTCTTTCTCTCCTAGACATTTTCATTTCTCTCTGAACCCCATCCCGGCCTCTCTCCTGAACCTCCTATCTAAGGGATAAGGTAGAGGGGAGGTTCGGAAAGGATGCAGGAGGAGGGCAGGCTGAGGAGCCATGTGTACCGGGTCATGTGTTTCTGGGCCAGGGCAATGGCGTAATCAGCCACCACTGTCTTCCCGGCGGATGTGTGAGCCGCAACAAAGACAGAGTTGTGCTGCTCCAGGTGCAGGATGGCCTGCTTCTGAAACACATCTGGCTCAAACGCCCACTGCGCGAGAGAAAACGGACAGGGCTGTATGACAGGGCCCCTCTACCTGCCCACAGGCATCCGGGGCAAAGAGGAGAAGGCCAGTGCAGGGCTGGGACCGTATGTGGGCGCTGGTGAAGAGGGGACAAGGCTGGGCTGAGGGGCAAGGCCAGGGTTGGGGCTACCAAGAGGTGAAGTAAGACCTGGGTGCAGTACCTGGAAGGCAGGCTGAGGAATGAGACGGTAAAAATCACCTACAGGGGAGGTGACATTCACTGGTACGGCCCACTGTTCCTGGGGTGCAGGTTTGGGAGGCTCCAGGGGGGATGCGATTGTGGATACTTCCTGGAAATGTCGGGCAGGAGTGATAAACATACAGCCAGAGCGCTCCTGACAACCACTCATCCCCAGATAGCTCACTCTTCCCCTCGAACCCGCCCCTGCTGCAGTCAGGCCCATCTCGCGTGCCTCTATCACCGGTAACCACCAACCTTCAACACGAGGTCCTCCAAGCTGCTTGCTCGGCCCAGGGGAGCGCTGCGTGGAGAGGCGGAGGCAGTGCCCCCTCCAGGGCCTCCTGCTGGCTCACCCTCGTCCTCATCACCTCCGCTCAGATCTAGGGGCTCCAGCAGGCGGCTGAGGCTAAGCAAACCTGGCACAGGAGCTTGGTGATCTGAGGAGCAACAGCAACCTGTCAGATTCGCACGCCGGCGGCGGGAGCAGGGCATCCCTACAAATCCTCCTCACACTCACCCTTGGGGGCAAAATCCACGCCTTTCTTGAAGCCAGGTGGGACAGTGAGAAGATCTGAGGACCGGACCAGAGGGACAGCATCAGCCACCACGACATCGGCCGCCCAACTGTTCCGTCACATGACAGTCACAGCGCTCTGCCGTGTGCACAGCAGCTGTGGCCACTTTTTTCAGGGGAACTAGAGAGAACAGTTTTTCCCCTTTCCCATAGTTCATGCATGTACAGGACGGCTAGCAGCAGCCTGCTGGGCCCTCCTCAGACACGGCCACTTCACCTTTCTCAAAGTCTATCTCCTCCTCAGCTTCTTCCCGAGTGCTCAGATCTGTCATGGTGGGCTCGTCCATCCCACCTGGGGAAACATGGGGTTCGGCATCAGCAGGGACCCGTTCCCTAGACACGAAGACACTCGCTTCTACCCCCACCATGTACAACTTACCAGGCCAGAAAGGGTACTGTGTTGGGTTGCCCCATAGTGACTGGGGGGCTGGCCCTGGAGGCCGGCGAAGGGACAAGGAGGTTGTGGCCGACAGGTTTGTGTTCTCCAGCAGGACCTGAGACAAGAGGTTGGAGTCCCGGTGAGACCTGGTCTGCTCCGACCTGTTCTCCCAGCTCTGTCTCTTGTGGTCTCTGACCTCTCACCTCCTTGTAGCCCAGTATCTGGCCTGTGGTTGGGTGTCTCTGGGCCTGAAGGTCGGATGGGACAGGAGCCCCCAGAGCAGCCAGAAGAGACCAGGGATCCCTCTTCCTCTGCCATTTTCTGGAGGAAAGGAAAAGAACTGGGGAGTCAGCTTCCTTGCCATCCCTGCTCCCTTTGGGTGGTCCACCCCCTAGCTGGGCCCTGCAGACTCCTCACCGAGCTGAGTGTTCCACACCATGCAGAGGAAGCCAGGCGGGAGACGAGAGGAACAGCTGCTCCGCTTCCTGCTGTAGGTCAGGGGCACAGGGAGGGAGGCCGTGGGGTAGCTGGGACAAGGGCGAGGTGAGAACCATTAGGAACAGATAAAGTGCAGGCAGAAGAGGCGACGGGGATTTGTGTTTAGATCCCATGGTGGATGTCTCCAGCAGAAGCCGAGGCAATCGGATGAGCAAAGCCCGAAGGCTAAGCAAAACCCCCCTGCAGCTGAGGTACCTGGGACGCTGACTAAAGCAAACTATGCATTCCGGACGCATGGAGGTCAGGCACAGCCATATGCGTTCCTATCTTAAGACAGGGTTTCGTGTACCCCAGGTTTGCATCAGACTTGATATATCACATACATCATGTATTTTCATATATATATATATATATACATATAAACATGACCTAGAACTAGGGGGTGACAAGCATGCAATGCCACACTTGAGTGTCACCCAGGTCTTTGTGTACGCCAGGCAAACACTATACCAACTTGGCTACCCACTCAGCTGGGAATCTGCTTTCAGAATGACTCTGTAGTAGTAATAGCATGTGACTATATACAGGGACTTGTGTAACGTGTGGGTATGGGCACACACGCTACAGAACGTGGCAGACAGAGGACGACTCTGGGGCTGGCTCTCTCCCTCCTTTACACGCATCTCATCAGGCACGCATGGTGAGCACGTTATCGACCGAGCCGGTGGTTCCCAACACTGCAGTACTACTGCTGCTACTTCCTAAGTGGGGTTCTGTTACCGTTATGAATTGTTTGTTCTGGGTTTTCTCAAGACAAGGTTTCTCTGTAGCTTTGGAGCCTAGCTCTTATAGACCAGACTGGCCTCCAACTCACAGAGATCCACCTGCCTCTGCTTCTCGAGTGGAGTGCTGGGTGTGCGCCGTCACTGCCCAGCCTTGTTACGAATTGTAAATATTTGAGATTCAGGATATGATATGCAACCCCTGTTAAAGGGTCATTTGCCCACCCAAGGGGTTGAGAACCTCTGGGCTAAGCCATTCCCTAGGTCTTCTTTTTCTTCTTCTTCTTTTTTTTTTTTTTTTTGGAGATGAAGTCTCACTATGAGGCCCTGGCTGGCCTGGAACTTGATAGGTAGACCAAACTGGCCTCCAACAAGGTTTCTCTGTAGCTTTGGAGCCTGTCCTCAAACTAGCTCTTATAGACCAGGCTGGCCTCAAACTCAAGAGATCCGCCTGCCTCCGCCTCCCAAGTGCTGGAATTAAAGGTGTGAGCCACACCCGGCTTCAGATTCAGAAGCTGAAAAGCGAGGTCTCAGCCAAGTGCCTGGAGGCATGCAGAAAGAACAAACTTCCAAGGAGGAAAGTCACGCGTGAAAGCGCAGTTCTGAGAGCTAGTGTCCCACTGGAGCTCCTGGAGGCTGGGGTCTGTCCAGCATCGGCTAGGAGCCCAGCTGACAGTGTCCAGTCACAGGAAAGTGAGGTCCTGGAGAGGGGTCACTTTTAGCCTCCCGGGTCAAAGATGAGACTCAAAACTCACTCACAGTGCTCTGTGGAGCCCCAGGCACGTTCAGCAGCTCCCAGTGCCCAGTGCAGCCCACTTCCAGAGCTCCAAGAGGCAGGTTCAAGGGATCGGGGGGAGGGAGCACTACGGGGGAAAGGTCACAGGTTAGAGGTCAAAAGTCAATCCCAGCTGCTGCTCCCCTCCCCTCCCCTCCCATACCCTCCCCCTCACCGAGTCTCTCTGTGTCCAGCATCCTGAAGCCTCGACAGCTGCCTCGCAGCCCGGAAACGCAGAGGAACCACGGAGTTGGCCCCGCCCCGAGATGGGCGGAAATTGAGGGATTTTTTCCCCGACACGCCCCCTCCCTCCACCACTCCCCGCCGGGAGCGTAGGCGAGCTCGACGCCGAAGCCCAGCACGGAGCAGGGCAAGGCCGGGCGGAAGTCGCTGCGGCTCGCCGCCTTGGTTACCGCGTGTCCTGCCCCTTTACGTCATCGCCGCGAGCCCGCGCGCAGCAGCCCGCGCGGCGGCGCCGGAGACAGCGGGCCCGGGCGCCGCCCCCTCAGGTGAGGGCTTCGTCTCACATCCTTCGCGCCTTCCCTGCGCGGCCCCAGGTTCTTCCTCCTCCTCCTCTGGTCGGCCAGATATCGCTGCGCGGGCCCAGCCGCCTTCTCTGCCCACCGGACCCCGAGGTTGGCTGACCTAACCCCATTGGGCATGGGGGTCGGGAGCCATCGCCTTGGCGTCGCAGGGAGTGCTTTCCCTTCTCCGGGCTGAGGTACCCCAAGGCTCTGGTGTCTGGACCTTGGACAGGAGGTTGGACAGCAGCCTCGTGGAGACAAGGGGTTAGGGCAAGGCCAGAGGCTGGAGTAGGCGGGCCTGGAGGTCGGGGTAAATACAGGATGGACAGAAGTTGGACGACGTGTGCATTTTGAGTGGTGACGGTAGAGAATGATGTCTTGGGTTCTGCCCCTGCACCAGGAGCCGACATGTTGGTGATACCTCCCGGGCTGAGCGAAGAGGAAGAGGCGCTGCAGAAGAAATTCAACAAGCTCAAGAAGAAGGTAAGGGAGTAGGGCGGCGGCGCAGCCTTCTGCAGACTCGGAGGACACCTGGGTGAGTGTGAGGGGATGGGGCGCCCCTTCTCCTGGCTCATACCCGGAGCACACGCCTGTGTAGCTTCTCCAGCTTTGTCAAGCCTTTTCTGTTCGGTCCTCCATGGACCGGTCATCCTTCCTGTGGTTTGAGTACCACCCAAGAGCTGGAGGTGGTCACATTAGGATTCCCAGCTCCATGCAGTGCGTTTTGAACCATCAGACGGCCAAGCTAAAGTCACCATCCTGTCTGATCTACTCCCCTCTCCTTGCTTTTAGATAGGACCTCCTAAGCATCATAGGCCTTAAAATCTCTCTGGCCTTTTATCCCCTCTTCAGACAGGGCCTCACTGGATTGAAACTGTGTAGCTTTGGGTAGGCGGGAACAGCTCTGCCTGAACCACCGTTTTCTGTTCACCCCGCACCCAGCTCACTTCTGGCTTCCGTACTATTTACACAGCGAAACGCCTGTCATGTCTGCCCATGTTCTGTCCCTTCCACCCTCCCACTTTGTCTGTTTTTTTCCTTCGAAGCAGGATCTCAGTACATGGCCTAGGTTGGTCTTGAACTCCTGGGTCCGTGTGGTCTTCCTGCCTCAGCTTCTCTGAGGAGCTAGAACCGCAGGGGCACCTGATTATCTTGGTCCATCCTTCTGAGTGATCTCTCTAGTGACTCCTTCCGACGAGACCCGTCAGAACAGGGTTTGCTTGGCTCTCTTGGGGGCACCCTTGTTCCCCTGAAAACTTTTCAAGGTTTCCCATCGTGTATAGAACAAAGCCCTGACATTTCAGCCCAGCATCCCTTTCGAAAAAGACAGAATTACTCACTCTAAAAACCCAGAACCTTTTCTTTGCATTTGTACCACCTTGCTTTCTTAGTCTAAAATCTCTCTGTGTTGGGTAAATCCCACCCAGGTCCCAGTTTGATAGCCGCATAAGCATCTAAGACTGTTTGTGTGCGTTCAGCTGCGTGTGATTAGTAATTGATTATTCTTGGCTGGGAGTCTAGTCGTTATAGTTCCTGGATTGTGCGTTTCTCAAGGGTAGGAACTAGGCACTTCAGTTTTGTACAGCTTTGTGAAATACGCACAAGAAAGGTGGGTCAAATCCTCACGGGAGACATTCAGGACTTCTCTGCAGCTGATGTCTATCGTAGGGCTTAGGTTTGTTTTTATTTTACGTACGTTGGTGTTTTGCCCACGTGTGTGTCTGTGTGAGGGCGTAGGAATTGGAGTTACAGTTGGAAGCGGTCACATGGGTGCTGGGGATTGAACCTGGGTCCTCTTGAAGAGCAGTCAGTACTCTTAACTGTTGAGCCGTCTCTCCAGACACAGGGCTTAGGTTTTTGTTTTGCTTTTGTTTTTGTTTTTCAACTTCCAGAACGTGAAACTAGAGGGGCTTTGGACACCGTGGTTTGGTTAGGTTCGATATTGCTGGCGTCATGATGATGTAGGGACTAGTGCCGCTCCAGGACAAGGGAACCACGTGTACTCTCCCTGGAGTGATGCACACACGAGGCCAGCACCTTGGCTGACAAGCCTCTCTGCATTAATCTTTCTCCTTCCCAGAAAAAAGCCTTGCTGGCCCTGAAGAAGCAAAGTAGCAGCGGCACGGCGAGCCAGGGTGGCGTCAAACGCTGTAAGTGATGGAGATGGAGAATTGGGGGGGCGGCGTGGGGCTACCCCCACAGCCGGCATAATGCCTCCCTCCCTCCCTCCGACCCCCAGCGTTATCGGAGCAGCCTGTGGTGGACACTGCCACAGCAACAGAACAGGCCAAGCAGCTGGTGAAGTCGGGAGCCATCAGTGCCATCAAAGCGGAAACCAAGAACTCAGGCTTCAAACGTTCTCGGACCCTAGAGGGGAAGTTAAAGGTGAGCACCCTTGACTTCAACGAGATCCCCTCCAAGCTAGAAGGGGATAGCTTTAAGGGAAGTTAGATACGAGCAAGTTGTGCCGTCCTGAGGTTTAGGGTGTTTTCCTACTTCCAGTCTCTTTTAGTCTTTTTTACTCCTTTCTCACTGTTCCCCCAGACTCAGTGATGCACTGGCCTCAGCCTCACAAGTAGCCAGGGCTAGAGGGGCACGCCACCATTTACTGCGGGAGCATTAGGTTTCTTATCTGTCACATAAGGTGACTCCTACATTTCTGTTTTCCACATTTGCGCTTCCTGGGCTGAGGGGAGGTTTGGGTAAACCAAACACTTCCTTAAAAACAGCAATTCAGGCCGGGCGGTGGTGGCGCATGCCTTTAATCCCAGCACTCGGGAGGCAGAGGCAGGTGGATCTCTGTGAGTTCGAGGCCAGCTTGGACTACAAGAGCTAGTTTCAGGACGGGAACCAAAAGCTATGGAGAAACCCTTTCTCAAAAATCAAAAAAAAAAAAAAAAAAAACCAGCACATCAGCCAGGCATGGTGGTACATGCTTTAATCCCAGCACTTGGAAGAAACAAGCCGAGCTCTGAGTTCGAGACCAGCCTGCTTTACAGAGTGAGTTCCAGGACAGCCAGGGCTGCACAGAAATTCAAGTCTTGATAAACAGACAGAGAGACCAGCACGTCATCAGCAGGAAGTATGACAGGAGCAAAAGAGGACCTAGCTCTCCTGGTCTGCGCTAACGCGGTGTCTCCCCCTCCCCAGGACCCTGAGAAGGGGCCTGTCCCCACTTTCCAGCCGTTCCAGAGGAGCGTATCCGCTGACGAGGACCTGCAGGAGGTAATGGTTTCTGTGGGGCCAGGGTTAACTACAGAAGGCACAGGTTTTCCAGCACCTGGGAATCTTCTTAATTGTTCTGTCTTTTTTTCCTCAGTCATCCAGACGTCCCCAGAGGAAATCTCTGTATGAAAGGTTAGAGAGACCACCATTTGGTGTGGGGGTCAGTGGTTGGAGTCGTTAGAGAGACCACCATTTGGTGTGGGGTCAGTGGCNGGGGTCAGTGGTTGGAGTCGTTAGAGAGACCACCATTTGGTGTGGGGTCAGTGGCCGGAGTTCCTGAAAGGTTCAGGGCCGGCTGTAGACAGAGGTCCGTGAGAAGATGGAGCTCCTTTGGTCCTCACTGTCTGCTTCTCCCCAGCTTTGTGTCTTCTAGCGATCGGCTGCGGGAGCTGGGACCAGATGGAGAAGAAGCAGAGGGCCCCGGGGCTGCTGATGGCCCACCTCGAGGCTTTGACTGGAGCTATGAAGAACACGGTGGTGCCCGCTCCTCAGCCTCCCCTCCCCGAAGCCGCAGCCGGGACCGAAGTCATGAGAGGAGCCGAGATAGGGACCGCGACAAAGACCGTGACAAAGATCGGGATCGAGACAGAGACCGCGACAGAGACAAAGACAGAGACCGCGACAGAGACCGAGACAAAGATAAAGACCGGGAGCGAGACAGAGACCGGGAGCGAGACAGGGAGCGGGAGCGAGAGGGCCCTTTCCGCAGTGAGTGCTCTTGGCCAGGGTGAGGGGGTCCTGCTAAACGGAGGGTGATGGGGACTCAGTAGTGACCATGATTCCCAACCCACAGGGTCAGACTCGTTCCCCGAGAGGAGGGCCCCTCGGAAGGGGAACACTCTGTATGTGTATGGAGAGGACATGACGCCCACCCTCCTCCGAGGGGCCTTCTCTCCCTTTGGAAACATCATCGACCTCTCCATGGACCCACCCAGAAAGTAAGGATGAGCATCCCTGGGGGGATGCTGCGTGGGAACACTGGGTCATGGACCTCCACTGACCCCGCTTTTCTCACCCCAGCTGTGCCTTCGTCACCTATGAGAAGATGGAGTCTGCGGATCAGGCCGTGGCTGAGGTGGAGACTTGTCAGACCCCTCCCCTATCCCTCCTGCCCCCCTCAGGCTCTTCCTCCTCTCCTGATTGAGAACCTTCATCCTCAGACCCTTGTCTGGTCCCTGGGGTGCCAGCACCTGGCTCCCTGGAGTACCCACCCTCTGTCCCCTCCCCTTTTGTCCCACAGCTCAATGGAACCCAGGTGGAATCCGTGCAGCTCAAAGTCAACATAGCCCGCAAACAGCCCATGCTGGACGCTGCTACTGGCAAGTCTGTCTGGGGCTCCCTCGGTAAGGACGGGGCTCTTCCCTCACCCCTCCCTACAGCACACCACTGTGGGTCCCTCCACAGAGGGCCCAAGATCAGGATTTGTTTGTAGTAGGCAACTGATGGAGAGCTGCCAGGCTGTCTGTCAGAGGGGATGGGAGGGGAGGAACAGCACAAGGTCCCCAGCAGTGAATGGCTCAGGGAGGAGAGCAGGAGTCAGGCTGTCCCTCCGAGCTGGAGCAGTGTGT